TTTCTTGTTTGTTTCACAATAAAAAATATTTTGCATCTTCAATGTGGTAGGCATGTTGTGTAAATCAAATGATACAACCCCCCAAAAAATCCATTTTAATTCCAGGCTGTAAGGCAACAAAATAGGAAATATGCCAAGGGGGTGAATACTTTCGCAAGCCACTGTATAAGGAAATCAGTCAATTGAAATAAACTCATTAGGCCCTAATCTATGGATTTCACGACTGGGAATACAGATATGCATCTGTTGGTCATAGATATATTTCTTTAAATGTAGGGGCGTGAATCAGAAAACCAGTCAGTATCTGGTGTGACCACCATTTGCCTCATGCAGCGCAACATTTCCTTCGCATAGAGTTGATCAGGCTGTAGAATGTTGTTCTACTCCTCTTCAATGGCTGTGTGAAGTTGCTGGATATTGGCGGGAACTGGAACACGCTGTCATACACATCAATCCAGAGCATCCCAAACATGCTCAATGGGTGACATGTCTGGTGAGTAGGCCTCTAAAACGACGTTGGAGAAGGCTTATGGTAGAGAAATGAACAATCAATTCTCTAGCAACAGTTCTGGTGGACATTCCTGCAGTCAGCATGCCCATTGCACGCTCCCTCAAAACTTGAAACATCTGTGGCATTGTGTTGTGTGACAAAACTGCACATTTTAGAGTGGCCTTTTATAGTCCCCAGCACAAGGTGCACCTGTGTAATGATCATGCTGTTTAATCAGCTTCTTGATATGCCACACCTGTCAGGTGGATGGATTATCTTGGCAAAGGAGAAATGCTCACTAACAGGGATGTAAACACATTTGTGCATAACATTTTAGAGAAATTAGCTTTTTGTGCGTATGGTACATTTCTGGGATCTTTTATTTCAGCTCATGAAACATGGGACTGACACTTTGCATGTTACATTTATATTTTTGTTCAGTATACTTTGTATCCCTCATTTACTCAAGTGTTTCCATTATTTTGGCAGTTACCTGTACATGTAATGAGATCTGTCAGTCCTCAGTGTACAAGTGTGGGTTGGTTTCCATGGTGAACATTGATTAACCAACCCAGCTTATCTCTTTCTTCTCCCTTACTTTCTTTGAGTGATGACTGCTAAGCTTCAAGTGCCTTGAAAAATAAACCAGTACGTGTATGTCTCTATACACTGAGTCTACCAGACATTAGGACCCCCAAGTTTGCTGGATATCCTTTGGGTGATGGACCATTCTTGATACATACAGGAAACTGTTGAGCGTAAACAATCCATTAGCGTTGCAGTTCTTGACACAAACCGGTGTGCCTGGAACCTACTACCATACCCCGTTCAAAGGCACTTACATATTTTGTCTTGCCCATTCACCCTCTGAATGGCACACATACACAATCCGGCTCAATTGTCTCAAGGTTTTAAAATCCTTCTTTAACATGTCTCCTCCCCTTCAGCTACACTGATAGAAGTGGATTTAACACTGATTGAAGTGGATTTTCTTAATGTTTTGTATATTCAGTGTATATCAACCATTGTTATTAACTGGCAAATATTATGTCAATCTATTTTTCACTTTAAACATCATGCTGACCTCAAACTGTTAAATGTGTCTGTGAATTAGACTAAAAGTGATTGCTACAGAATGTATTGTACTATTATTTGTTTGCTATTTAAACATGCAGCATAAATCAAAAACTGAAGCCGAAATGTAATCATCCTTGTCCAGTGATTTAGATTGTTGGTTTTGTGAAAGTGAAAGCCTTTGGAGGGGTAGTTAGAGACAGCGAGCTCGCCTCCTTCATTTAACACACAATGAAACTCGTTCTCGCTATAGGGCAAGGTAATTGAGCGATGAATGACTTTTTGCATGAGCAACACACAATGACACTGATTCTGATGTAGTTATATATTTTCTCCCATTCTGGGGTAATTCATCCTTCTAATGACAACCCAAAGGAAAATGTACATATTCTTCTCCTTTAATCAGACCTGGAAAAACACTGCCCTCATCTATGGGAAAAATGCATTGTATTTGAGTTTCATATTTCCAAGATATTTTGCATGGGGGCTTTACATTTTTTCCTGTTGAAAGTATGACTTTGAAGGACTTATGAGGTGCTTTTTCATTATATGGAGTCACATCTTGGAGTTTGACTCTTGTACATAGTTGTTCCCTCGGGAAAGGAAATAAATTAGTTTTACATTGAAAGTAATGCAATCAGCCTCTGCCAGACGTAGATCTCCCAAAGTTGATTATATCAGCAATAATTTAGTAGATGTCTTTACCTAGAATTACATTATAGAAGCTTAGAGCAGGGAGAATAAGTGTGGAATGAGGATATAAAAAATATATAGGGAGATTAAATGAGAGGGAGATCGAGAGTATTACGTGTTGGACGGGCTCATTGTAATAGCTGGAATGGACTTGTTAGAACGTTTTCAAACATATGGAAAGCGCGTTTGATTACGTTCCATTAATTCCATTCCAGCCATTACAATGAGCCCGTCCTCCTATAGCTCCTCCCACCAGCTTCCTCTGAAGAATACATAACAGCGTTTCAGTGAAGAACAAACAGGCGTCAAGTCAACAAGAAAAGAGGACCGTTTTTTTATTTTTATTTCAAACCAGTAATAAAGTGACAATCTCAATTCAAACCCAATGAGCAGAGTTTGGCAGAGAGAATGGTAGGCAACTACAATGACCAGAAGGCAAGGGCGTGTTGGTTTCCATAGTGCAGTTTCACAGTTGTCTTCTGAAAACCAAGAGTCGTGCTTGGGTTCGGGTGCCTAATTTAGTAAACTAAACACAAGCACAATAGACGGGTTAGCTGACATCACGAAAACGATGCGCGCGCTTCAATGGGGCAGAGGGTCGTGTGTTGTGATTCTGGATGGCCGTATAGCTAGCAACAATGACAAGGTGCTGCCATGTGGGGAATCGTAGGTGGCTTGTTTCAGCTAGTTTTATCTTGTTCTTGATACCATGTCTTGTTTTTTTTAGGTGTTTTGACTGAAGTCAGGTCTATGCTAATATGGCTCAAATTCACTAGCTAGCTAACCAACACCTGTAACGATCTATTTGAGTTAAAAGAAGTGCTCATTGTGCAAATGTATTTATGTTTTCAGTAAACATTGGAGAGGAAGTATAGTACATGTTGTCATCAATCTAAACCAACAGTCCGTTTTGCCCTATTAGCTGCGCACGCGTCGGTGTCGTTGCTAAGCAACCAACACGTCTATGAAATCAGCTAAAGAAAAAAGTTGAACAGAAAAGTAACAATTGTTATGTAATAGTTGTACTGGGTAACTCTTAAGGAGAGGGCTGGAGATCACGTTTTTCATAATACTTACACCACATTGATGTAACATTTCACAAACATCCCATTAACATCAGTATGCAGGGTATCCATAAGACATACCATTGTAGCAGTTGATCTGGCATAGTTCATCAACCGTAGGTCATATCAAATACATTGTTTATGTCATGCAATGCTTATGTAGGCCTAAGAATATAAACGACAGTCTACCCCTTTAAACACCACATTACCATTTTATTGCAACAGGGAATGTACTGTTATTAAGTACTGTAAAAACTCCCAACATGTTTTTGTCAGTGCATTGAGTAAACTTACATTTAATTGTTTTGTAATCTCAGTGCATTTGGATGCAATCTGCTACATTTCCTTCCCAGAAACAGCCTACCAGAACTAGTGATGGACAACGGGTGGTGAAGCTCTTTCAGAGGAGAGCAAAGAGCCACCATTTTGGATCTGATCAGCCAATGTCTACAAGTATATTACCATTCCATGTCTGCATTCAAAATGGCAGCCTATTCCCTATATAGGCTGGTCAAATGTAGCACACTATATAGGGAATATGGTGCCATTTCGGATGCACAAACGCATATTGCGGTCATTAAGCCTGTCTCCCATTACACTAACCATTGGCCTTCTAAAATAGAGAAAAAACAACTTACTGTACAGTATGTCTATTTAAAACTACAGCAGGGTAAATAAGTCAGACATCCCTAGAAGCTTACATTATCCAGATGTGAGTTCTTGGACACAGTTTCTATTAAAGATCAGCTTTAATATTGCAGATAAGATTGTGGGTTCTGTCAATGTAATTGTTTGCATCATTTCCACTGTTGGAAATTAATAAGTGTCTGGAGCTACAACTGTGAGATTCCATTTGAAATGCATGAGTATTCATTTTATGGCAACTTTTCCTTCATGGGCACTTCCTCCGCAGTCGACTATGGGTGAGTTGCAACATTCAGTGGAGGGACTTTTAAAAAATCTAAAGCTTTGATTTGGGAATTCAAAATTCCAACAGAAGAAAGTATATAATTCAATATCAAATATTTCAGTGCAATTGGGCACGGGAGAAATGGGTCACCTTTTTACCATATTACCAATGGGTGTAGTCCCGTGTAGCTCAGTTGGTAGAGCATGGCGTTTTCAACGGCAGGGTTGTAGGTTCGTTTCCCACGGGGGACCAGTATTTAAAAAAATACAAATAAATGTATGCACTCACTAACTGAAAGTCGCTCTGGATAAGAGCGTCTGCTAAATGTCTAAAATGTAAAATGGGTCACCTTTTCACCATATTACCAATGGGTCACCTTTTTAAACACAAATGCTACCTGATTCAAAGTATGGAATGACCCCTGGTTGGTTAAGGAACGATAATTAATTTTGCTAAAACTTGGCTTATTTCCTTCCTTTCTTCTCTGCAACACTTACTTATCAATGACTAATCTTCATAGTTCCATATCAAAAAGGCTAATTTAATAAAGGACATTATTTTTTTTGTGCGTTGCCTAGCTGCTGACCTAACTGACTTATACATAAGATTCAAAAGCAATAAAAAACAGTCTGCGGAAAGATACCGGTAGGGCGGTGGGAGGGGAAAGGATGATAAAAAATAAAATAAAAAAAACATGGTTGATATGTGTCCGAGTTCCATGTCGCTGTATATCACTAGGCCTGTTCCTCCGCCTCCACTACCCTTGGCATTAATCTGCTTTCTTGTCGTCCGGGTTCTTCTCCTCCTGCTCCTCCTCGGGGCCCTCCAGCTCTCCGGTGGCCTGCCGAGGCTCGTCCTCCTCTTCGTCCTCCTCCTCGTCGTCCTCCCTCTTCATGAGCTCCATGTCCTCCTGGCCGTCGTCCGACTCGGCCGTGCAGATGCCGTAGCACATCAGGCTGATCACGCCCAGCGGCAGACCAAACAGGAAACATCCCAGCACTGGGGAGCTGCGGAACACCGACTGAGAGGGAGGGGTGATCGGGGGAAATAGTTGAAGAGGAAGAGATTGAGAGATTGGCAGAGCGAGGGAGAGATTAAGATATTGAGAGATAGAGAGAGGAGGGGGGGGTTTGACAGTGGTGGACAGAAGGTGGGGTGGAACAGCAGAAAGAGTATAATAGATTTATGCCCTCTATAAGCCCAAAACATAAACACATTATTTTATAGTAGTACACCAAGCAACTCAGTCCTGACCACACATATTCAATGCCAAACATATAATTACCTAACATGCACTTTTTACGCTTGCCTTGCTCAGTTTTCCCTTCTAAACCAAGCTAAACAACCCTCACCTACGGACACACACACAACCCCAGGAACCTCAAATATGACTCTGTATATTTTACTCTCTTTCCTCTGCGTTCCCTTATAAACCAACCTAAATCAGCCTCACCTACGGGCACAGATGAGCTCAGGGTACTACTCCAGTGACGCACAATGTCTTCCACTAAAATATGGATGAGTGGCAGTGAATCATTGGCCCTTAATAGAGCGGGTTGCAGGGGAGACAATGTGCCGAGAGGCAAGACATTCGGTCAAAGGCTGCTGTCATCCAGGAAGGAAAGGAAGAGAAATCCTGCCGACAACGCCAGGGGAAGAAGAGGGATGGTAATTGCCAGGCGTGTGTAATCCTAAAGATGGGTCAGCATCATGAGTCATTGGGTCTAATGCGGATCGTTGCTTCCTTGCAGTGATGTGTGTGCGTGTGTGTGTGTGCACGTGTGCACTCCGAGGGCAAGGTGATGGCTGCTTGCTCATCTCGTTCACCGTGAGTGACCAAGGCTAGCAGGGGCACTACTGAAAAGAAACAACTAGTGCTTCACAATAAAAAATTATGACATTCAGGCTGAAAAATAATGACTTCCTTCTTCCCCTTTACAGATTTTAGTGAGGCATTCTTGAACTGCGAAACTTCAATACAAAATTTCAATAGTTTTTTTGGGCCTAAAATTACCTATCGATTTTCCTTTTCCCCCTCAGGTGACCATTTTCCATAAATGTATTTTTCCTACCAGATCAGCATTTTTCTGAATCTAATCAATCATTTTATTTTCCATTTGAGGGCACCTTTCTAAGGTTTATTCTTGGTTCGGGTACAGTCTACTTTCTGAATAGCATTACGCTACTACATCCCATTTACATTCATATCACACTGTCAGTCAAATAAACACTAGTCCTCCCTGTTACGAAACCAACTAGCTAACCTACTGACTTCACTACACCTGATTTGATGTGTGCATTTACGTGAGAAGTCAAAGTATGCGGACCGTGAGGTATGCATGTGCCCAGGAGACAGCAACCTTACTTGGGTCCAGGGATAGCTCAGTCTTGACTCCTTGGTTAGCCAGCTCAAACAAGTTATGGATGTTCAAAGTAGTGACAAAAAAATATAAATACAAAAAGGCATGCCCAAAAAATAAAGATTCAAACCAAAGGCCCACATGGCCCTCAAACTGCAGCAGCCTCACGGCTATGCAAGCTGCCACACTGACTGATTACCCACACCTGTGCACAATCAACACTTAACAAAACTTCCTGGCAGAGCACAACACCTGACCCAGTTGGTGCTGCCACCTGGGGATGGAGTGTGAAAGTGATAGTGTAGTGTCTAATTGTACTATGAGAACAGCTCCAACAGTTCCAAGAAAGATTTCTGAGTTCTTCTGACCTCCTCTGTATTCTTGCCTCATTCCCATCCCTCTCTTTCTGTCATCTTTTCTCTCTGTCACGGTCGCCGCTTCCTTTTTCAATACACTACTCCTCTTCTATTGACGAGTCATCTCTTTGTTATACTGGTGACTATCAGGGGAATACTAGTGGGCCTTAGGACACATACTGTAGATAGCTACACAGGATATTGTACAGAGGGGTGTTTCCCTCCATATTATATTTGTTATTCAGAAAATAGCATGAAATATTATTCAAAATGAAAAACGGCAACCACATTATTTTTTTCTTAATTGTTTTGATGGATTCATCACGACAGCATACATTAAACCTATGCTGCACACATTGCCAACATCCTCCCACAATTATCTTGTTTTCCCATTTCCTATTCCCCCCTGCCATTTGCCTAATGCTGATTGTGCCCAGCCACTCACCATAATGGTGGACTTGGCGTCGAAGGCCACTCGTTTGACCCTCTGGAACATGCCGTCTCCTCCCTGGGCCTGAGGGGAAACACACAGACAGAGGATGTGGTGTTAGAGTGGAGCACTGGGGAGACTGGAATGTGTGTGTGTGTGTGTGTGTGTGTGAAAGAGTGAGTGTGAGAGAGAGACATCAGCCTGCCAGCGCTTCCTCAGAGTCTTAGGCAGGCAGCAGCACCAAGCATAGCAGTCATGAGGTGAGCTGGCTGGGCTGGCACGAGCCTGGGGAACAGAACAGGGTTCTCACTCTCCACTGCTGTTTACTTGGTGGGGTTTTGGTTTGTTTTGCCAGGCAAAAAATAACCCTGCTGAACGCTCTGGGAAAGAGAGGGACTTCCGTTGTGTTTGGATTACGGTTTCATTCATCTGTGTGACTTTATAATAAACAAGAGGGGGAAAGGATGTCACTTTTTCCAGATGCCATATAGTGGATTACATTATGTATATAAACCTCTCATTGCTGATGCTATGTATTGTCCATTGAGAGGTTTGAAGCCACCGGTCAGCCATATTGGCACTCCCCAGTAGGAGCAGTCCTCCATAGGAATTAATGGAATTCTACAGTATTTCAATTACATGTCTCAAGGACAAAATTACATGTATTTAAGTATTTGGTTGTTGTAGTGGGGATAGTTACATTAGTCATCTCAAAAAATTATACTTTAAGGAATTAAAATATATATTTTATTTTTTTATTTGTATGTTTAGCTCACATCTAATTTAAAAGTATGCATTAAGGTGTCTGTAATAGAATGAATGGGGGGAAAAATTAAATGTAGACATTAATAAATGCATTTCTTTAGCTTCCAAAATATTTATACAACGGTGGGGGAGTGCCAAGATGGAGGCATGGTGGCTTCAACACAGCGCCCCCCCATTTGTCATCTAGTGTGTATATAAATCATTGAGTGGAGTATATTATAATGCCAAATACTGACACTGGAATATATTATATGCCAAATACTGACACTGGGAATAAATATTTAGGAGCCAGAGTAATGGCAGATCGGCTATGCTGAAGAAAAACTATGCAACATAAATGTCAATCTCAATAAAGGATATTGCCAAAGAGTCCATCAAGTCTCATTGGACTTCCCTGGATACATAAAGAATAAACAAAGCCTGAACAGCTACACAAACAATTTGAGCTTTCTGTTGCGGTTAGAATGGTCAAATAAATAGGGGAAGGGAAAAGAAAACCAGCTGGAGCCAAAATGGCAGAGGGGAGTCAGAGGAGAGTGGAGTTGTGGACCTGAGCGGAGCCATCCAGAACACTGTTGATGAAGTGGACCAGCTGCTCCAGGGTCTCCACGGGCTCGCTGGGCAGGAAGTACTGCTCGTTAGACGTGTTGAGGATGATGATGGACGGCACCGACACCTCGCTGTGGGGGAAAGAGGAAGAGGAGATTATCACTCTAAAAAAGGTCACAGAGATATGGCAGATAACCAATTCAGAAGATAAACTATGCAGCAAAATGTCAATCTCAATAAAGGATGATTGCAATCATTCCACTGCAATCATTTTTGCAGTGGAAGGATTGGGGTACAGGCAGGTTGGAGAAATAGACTGGAGGGTTGGAGCAGGGAATGAACCCCGGTCTATGGTGGGGAGAGTAGTATATGCGTTTAAGCCAGGAGCATTAGCACAAGACCACAGACTCTGCAATGTACACTGCAATCTATGCTCACATGTCCCAATTCGACCCATAGGTCTTCAGATTTGACCTCCAGCACCTATTTCGAGACACTGGAATATAAAAGTGTTCTATTTTTCTATACTGCAGAATATCCCTCTACCCATTTCATATAGGGCCAGGAGTTTTTCTGACCATGTGAGCTGACCAGAGAAAACTCAGGGCCCCACTTATAAAATCAAATGTTATTTATCACATGCGCCGAATACAACAGGTGTAGACCTTACCGTGAAATGCTTACTTACAAGCCCTTAACCAACAATGCAGTTTTAAGAAAATAGAGTTAAGAAAATAATTACTAAATAAACTAAAGTAAAAAATTACATTTCAAAAAGTAACACAATAAAATAACAATACCGAGTCAATGTGTGGGGGTACAGGTTAGTCGAGGTGGGGGGTGTCAATGGAAATAGTCCGGGTGGCCATTTGATTAATTGTTAAGCAGTCTTATGGCTTAGGGGTAGAAGCTGTTAAGGAGCCTTTTGGAACTAGACTTGGCGCTCCGGTACCGCTTGCCGTGCGGTAGCAGAGAGAACAGACTATGACTTGGGTGTGGAGTCTTTGACAATTTTTTGGGCCTTCCTCTGACACCGCCTAGTATATAGGTCCTGGATGGCAGGAAACTTGGCCCCAGTGATGTACTGGGCTGTACGCACTACCCTCTGTAGCACCTTAGGGTCGGATGCCGAGCAGTTGCCATACCAGGCGGTGATGCAACAGGTCATGATGCTCTCGATGGTGCAGCTGTAGAACTTTTTGAGGATCTGGTGACCCATGCCAAATCTTTTCAGTCTCCTGAGGGGGAAAAGGTGTTGTCGTGCCCTCTTCATTACTTTCTTGGTGTGTTTGGACCATGATAGTTTGTTGGTGATGTGGACACCAAGGAACTTGAAACTCTTGACCCGCTCCACTACAGCCCCGTCGATGTGAATGGGGGCGTGTTCGGCCCTCCTTTTCCTGTAGTCCATGATCATCTCCTTTGTCTTGCTCACGTTGAGGGAGAGGTTGTTGTCCTGGCACCACACTGCCAGGTCTCTGACCTCCTCCCTATAGGCTGTCTCATCGTTGTCGGTGATCAGGCCTACCACCGTTTTCTCGTCAGCAAACTTAATGATGGTGTTGGAGTCGTGCTTGGCCACGCAGTCGTGGGTGAACAGGGAGTACAGGAGGGGACTGAGCATGCACCCCTGAAGGGCCCCTGTGTTGAGGATCAGCGTAGCAGATGTGTTGTTGCCTACCCTTACCACCTGGGGGCAGCCCGTCAGGAAGTCCAGGATCCAGTTGCAGAAGGAAGTGTTTAGTCCCAGGGTCCTTAGCTTAGTGATGAGCTTTGTGGGCACTATGGTGTTGAACACATATCAACCATGATGCCAATTAAATAGTAGATTATAGTGTAAGATGCACAAGAAACAAAAATAACAAAGAAGCTTTATAGTCAAGATGAGATACACAGCTCTTTTCTTTCCGATGCGGCCCGACTTTTCCTGAGGGCACACTTTCAAAGGGTGGATTTGGTATGGATGAAAGGCAATGTGATGCAGAGTTTTTGGATAGTCATCTTGATCTTTATGCAAACAGTGTGCAACTCTGGCGGCATCATGGGGCCACAGTTAAAGGAACCTTTACAAATTAGAGCTGACAACTGAATCAGGGGGAGTCCAGCACTGGGTGGCCACACAGCTGAGGTGACATATACCCAGTCTCAGAGAGACACACACAGTGTAGCCCAGAACATCAGACAACTGCACAGCTCAACTGAGAGAAGAGACACATATACATACAATGTACACGTGCGTGTGTGTACACACACACACACACACACACACACACACACACACACACACACACACACACACAACTACACAGCCCAGCTGAGATAAAGCATGTTGTGCATCACCGTGCCACTACACATCTCAGCAGTGAACACCCCAGCTGAGTTCAGGCACACAAGCTCCACACACACTAGCTTTGTAGACAGCCCTCCACTACACCACCATTAGGCTCCTACTCCAAACAGCCCAGCTGAGATCTGGAGCTGTGCAGCATACACACACACACACACACACACACAACCCCCCCCCCCCCCCCCCCCCCCCCTCCACAAACCTTACGTGAGTACTCCATCTGACATTCAGCCCAGAACCAACAGATGGCAGACATTTTGAATCAACATGGATTAGCCCATTCACCTTTCAAAGAGCAGACTGCTGGGGCTTTTCAGCAGCACTACCACTTTCACTCTGCCTGCGTTGCCCATGCATATTGCAGCTTGGCTCTCAGTCACAGCCACGGACATTACGGAGAGTGCGAGAGTCGCCCCGGCTCTGGCTCCTCCAGTTTCCACCCAAACATAATGCAATGAATGCATACCATATGCCCGGCTGTGATGTTGCAGTGGCGTTGCTACGGCGCTAATCCTATACTCAAACAGACGAGCAGAAACACTAAAACCAGCCTCAGACATTAAACTACATGGGACTAGGGAGTGTGCGTGCTTGCATGCGCGCACGTGTGTGTGTGTGCACGTGTATGTGTCTCTGTCTAAGCGCTATAGGCTGACCCTGCCAGATATGACTGGGTGCTGCCAGAGAGAGAGCCCAGTAATCTGTGTGATGAAGGAGGGGAGGATAAAAGGCCATCAGATTTATTTCCCTGGCCTTCCTAAAGGAGCGGGATTAGTGGCCATTGACAGGCCGGGATTTCATTCCTCAAAGGAGGCCAATTAATCCTGGGCAGACTCGGGCCGGTGCCGTCCAAAAAAGCACAGAGGACACACACACACACACAAGCAAGCACATATACACACAAGCATGCAAACACAATTGTGTAATCACTACCCACCCTATATATCTTTGAATATGTATGTCTATTCTAATCCCCCATCACAGTGTCAGCTTTACACACACATTGTGTGTACTTCGATCACAGACATATTCACAGTAACACATTTGCTGTCATCACAAACACACTCTTTAAGCCCTTGGCGTGATTAAAAGAGCATGTTTACTGTAATCTCCCTCACACAAACAATAACATTCTGATGTATTTACTAACTACAGTATTTACCCCCCACACACTAGGGTTGTCATGATACTAACATCGCAATTCATCCTAAATACTGTGTTAAGGAAACAAAACATGAAGCCGACTTGATTTCTTGAGGAAAACAGTCCTAATGTTGAAAAAAAAATATATATATTTTACATAAAGTCGGTTTTTCAAGGACCATCGAGTTTAGTCTTTGGTCACGCTCATATTAAATCATTTCAACATGATCATACACAGTGTACAAAACATTAGGAACACCTGCTCTTTCCATGACAGACTAACCAGCTGAATCCAGGCGAAAGCTATGATCCCTTATGTCACTTGTTAAATCCACTTCAAATCAGTGTAGATGAAGGGGAGGAGACAGGTTAAATAAGGATTTTTAAGCCTTGAGACAATTGAGACATGGATTGTGTATTTGTGCCATTCAGAGAGTGAATGGGCAAGACACAATATTTAAGTGCCTTTGAACGGGGTTTGGTAGTAGGTGCCAGGCACACTGGTTTGTGTCAAGAACTGCAACGCTGCTGGGTTTTTGACACAGTTTTCTGTGTGTATCAAGAATGGTCCAGCACTCAAAGGACATCCCAAAGTACATGCCCTGACGAATTGAGGCTGTTCTGAGGGAAAAAGGGGGATGCAACTCAATATTAGGAAGGTGTTCTTAATGTTTGGTATACTCAGTGTATAATGTATGTATGCATGATTGCATGCATACATTACACACATAAACTAGAAACACAAACTAGAAACACACACACTAACTAGAAACACACACACACACACACACACACACACACACTAACTGTGGTCCTCTGTAGCTCAGCTGGTAGAGCACAGCGCTTGTAACGCCAAGGTAGTGGGTTCGATCCCCGGGACCACCCATACACAAAAAATGTATGCACGCATGACTAAGTCGCTTTGGATAAAAGCGTCTGCTAAATGGCATATTATTATTATTTATTATTAAACACACACACACACACACACACACACACGCACACTAGAAACATACACACTAACTAGAAACATACACACACACACACTAACTAGAAACACACACTGTCCTGTGCCCCTGCTGCCCCGCTGTGCTCCTGCTGGCCCTGCCAGGCTTGGTGGTCTGGGCTAATTAACAGTGTGGTGGTTTCAGAGCAGCAGCACAGGCCTCTCAGTGCATGACACCACACCACGCAGCAGCGAGCCCTGTCACGCAGCTCCATGCTGGGGCTTACTGCATCATTAGCACAGCCCTCCCTCCGACAGCCATTAAAGCACAGGCCCAATAAGACTCCAATCCACCAGCTTCATAGGACTCATATATTCTCCCCTTCTCCACGGCGGTATCAATACAAGGTCAACCTGGCAGGGAGCTAGCATTAGTGATGGGGAAAAGAAAATAAAAAATCGATAGTTTATTTTTTACAATATATTGTATCGTTTTGACAATATCCGTTTTTTTTTGCGCTAGTTGGATGTACCTGCACCAAAACTCCAGGGAGCCACTTTATTTTTAGCACTTTTATTTCCCTGACTGATCAAATCTCGTTTTCTCACGGCTCTCTCTTGTCCCTCTGCAGCAGACATATGGTGAGCAATATGTTTAGAACATCGAAACGCACTAAAATCACAGTATTGAATCGCAATACATATAGAATCGTGAGAATCGCAATACATATCGTATCGGCACCTATGTATCGTGGTAATTCTGTCAATTCCCAGCCCACTAAAAGCAAATGACAGTCAGTCCCGGGTAATTGACGGATCCAAGAGAGTGCATTTTATTAGCGGAGGCCGACTTTAAATTGCGGTTTTATGGAGTCTGACAGTGTGAGGTTACTGCGGTAGCCTAGGAAACCCGGGGAGAGAGTAGGGGGAAGAGAGGAGGAGGCAGTAGAAGGGAGGCGGAAGAGAGGAAGGAGGTGGTAGAAGAAAGGAGGAGTTGAAGAGGCGGTAGAGGAGAGGTGAAAGAGGAGGAGAGAAGGAGGAGAGGAAGTACAGAAGAGGAGGTAAAGAAGCAGAGCGGTAGAGGAAAAGGAGGAGACACTCACCCCATAATGAGGCTGTTGATGTAGTCGTTTCCATCCATGTGGCCAAACTGGAAGTCTCTGGGGAGACAGAACAAGGTGAGACACAACATGCATACAAACAAGCTCATTTATGACAAACAACTCATCGTAAGACCAACAAAAGAAATAGAGACCAATTCATATAAGCATTGCGATCCTAACAAGAGTCATAACACAAGACCTAGTTTCCTATGAAGACTGAACCAAGGACTCCCTTCTCTCTCCAACGGCACACAATAGCAAAACAACACTTCCATCTTCTTCTCAAAAAAGTATTGGATGATTCATCTAAATGGTAAGGCAGATCAAGAAGGAATTCCATTTGTATCTCATTGTACTGTTCTGTGTTGGAGCCTGTGTGGTGCATTGTGGGAAGAAAGCAAGCGACAGGGAAGGAAGGGGACTGCCGCAGCAGCTGAAGCCGTGGGAACTGGGAAGAACCCAGTCGTTTGCACTGAGAGACGGATTATGGCCGCCTCAACATATATATTTCATTCATATTGAATCATGATCCCATCTGGAACGTCTGTCCCCTGGGTGCCAAACAATACAGCCGGTGCCAATATCAATGACATGATTATGAAGACACTGAACTATTATTAAACCCAATCTAATCTGGTTAGGCTGAAGCTCACTCAGATAATATTGGGCTAAAGACTGAGTACTTGAAGGAAGTGAGGCTTGTTGAATTCTTATTCTAAGATAGTGAGTCATTACTCTTACCCAAGAGGAAGCTGGTTTATGGACTTTATGTATGAATTCAGTGTGTGTGTGTGTGTGTGTGTGTGTGTGTGTGTGTGTGTGTGTACATATATGTGTCTGTGTGTGCGTGTACATGTGAGAGACTGGAAGAACATATTATACACATTTTATGTGGTGAGCGTGTCTATATATGTCAGTTCATCATAGCAATCACCATAGCTCTCCCCGCTCAACCGCATAAATATTGCTGTCTCACTCCTGTTCCCCCTGTCTTCACCTCCCTCCACCTCCCTCCCACTCTCTTTTCAACTCCCTGCGGTGCAACAGACCCACACGTTAACTCACAATCACTCACATACACATAACCCCAAACCATAGCCCACACACACACACACACACACCACACACACCACACACACACACACACACACACACACACACACACACACACACACACACACACACACACACACACACACACACACACACACACACACACACACACACCTATCCTGCACCCAAACACACACACAGAGAGACTAACACACACCACAAACACAGACACGTCTCCTTGGGTAGTCTCCTCTCAGAGATTGCATTTATCGCTCTGTCACACTGTTGCGGATGGAGGGCGAGCTGAATGCCACAGTATTCATTACCGCCCTCACACACCACCTCACTCATTCAAATGACATCTATCTGCATCAGTCGCCTGCCCTCCATGTCTGCCTCAGTCTCCGTGTCTGCCTCAGTGTCCGTGTCTGCCTCAGTGTCCGTGTCTGCCTCAGTGTCCGTGTCTGCCTCAGTGTCCGTGTCTGCCTCAGTGTCCGTGTCTGCCTCAGTGTCCGTGTCTGCCTCAGTGTCCGTGTCTGCCTCAGTGTCCGTGTCTGCCTCAGTGTCCGTGTCTGCCTCAGTGTCCGTGTCTGCCTCAGTGTCCGTGTCTGCCTCAGTGTCCGTGTCTGCCTCAGTCTCCGTGTCTGCCTCAGTCTCCGTGTCTGCCTCAGTCTCCGTGTCTGCCTCAGTCTCCGTGTCTGCCTCAGTCTCCGTGTCTGCCTCAGTCTCCGTGTCTGCCTCAGTCTCCGTGTCTGCCTCTGCCCACCACAGGGGGCACTAACGAAGGGGGTATTTTTTAATTATTTATTAGGATCCCCATTAGCTGTTGCAAAAGCAGCAGCTACTCTTCCTGGGGTCCACACAAAATATGAAACATGACATAATACAGAACATTAATAGACACGAACAGCTCATGTAGCCTACATATCAATACATACACACAAACTATCTAGGTCAAATAGGGGAGAGGCGTTGTGCCGTGAGGTGTTGCTTTATCTGTTTTTTTAAACCAGGTTTGCTGTTTGTGTGACTTAATTACAACGAGCCATCTAGCATTTAGGTTGTGTCAAAAAACTGGGCTATAATCTGACTGTGAATCAGGAGAGTGTGATGACTTCAAAAACAAGGCGCGATAGCGTGGCAGATAGTCTAACTGATGATAGGGATCTGTGAAATTCAATCAGCTCTAATGTGGCTGCCTGGAAAGGAGAATAAACACCTTGATCATAGAGATTTTAGATAATACCTCTTCATTTAGCAAGAGGGCCAGCGCCAGTGAATTAAGAGAAAGAGTAATATGGAGTGTGTGCCTAATGTGGTGAGATTATGTACATTGAGACTAATATGTATGACTATGTATGGGACTCGGGTCTGTACTGAAGTGAATGCATTTGATGTGTGTGTTCTTACCCATCAGCCTTATGAAATCCCATTTCGAGTTTGTCGAGAGGTAGATCACTTCTTAATTAAAGCAAAATGGATCCATTACACGCACCATTCTGTAATGTAGTGTTCCGTTCACACCGGTGATAGTTTAATAAGGTATTCTTACAGGAGAACAAAGTCTCGTGAGGTAATAAGTTCCTCTAACTGTGCAGCGACTGACAGCTCCAAGGGAGCGCCTATTTTTGGTAAGCCTGACATTTTGCATAATTACCTCCCCACTGATACTGAATGAAACCAGACATGTCCTCAAAGAAGTACAGCTGGTTAGGCTGTCTCCCCACAGCGATCCCTTGTAATAAGTGTGTATGTGTGTACACACTTGTTCTTCTATCCTTGTGGGGACCTGAAATCCCCAAATGTTCCCACAAGGATATTAAACAAGGACCATGAGGACAAAGGCTATTTTAAGCTTAGGCGTTAGGTTTAGGATTAGGTTTAGGGTTAGAATTAGGGGTTAGAATTAGTTTAGGATTAGAGTTAGGGGTTAAGGTTAGATTTAGGGGTTAGAGAATATAGGATTTTGAATGGAAATACATTTTAGGTCGGCCACGAGGACAGAAAAACAATAGTTTAGTGTGTGTAGTTATGAATATTTCAATGGTTCATCTTCATCCAAACACTCTTACCTGTTAAAATGCTCTCTGTGTTCCTTTGCCACTCTCTGAATCAGAGTCTTTAATCTAACAGACAAATCAAAAAGGTACCACATCAGTTCACATCGTGACACTCTTCCCACATGCATCAATTTGTGGGCAATCCAAACAATAAATGCAGTGCTTATCTTTAGTTGAAAAAGCTGCCCGTTTTTAAATGCCACCGCAGCGGTTTCCATGGAAGCGTGCGTTTGTAATTTGTCTAGGAGCGCTAGGCTTTAATTTCACAATGTTCTTTTGTACCTGCCGCTCTCCTCTGTCGGGTCCTTCTCGTCGATGACTGCAATCGCCACCAATTTGCCTGTAGAGGGAGAGAGGGATTACAAGTCACACTCACAAACAGACGGAAGAAGAGATGGCGGGAGGACATTAGCCTGAAGATAAAAGGCGTTGGGGGAGATATATCGCATCGCTACAGAAGCAGCTAAAAGAAAGAAAGGACCAACCAAGGCATCTATTAATTTGTCATTCTGCATTTGGTGACTTCTTGGTGGTTCTAAAACAAGTGGGTGGAGGCTATTTTGGTGCAGTAGAAGGGGAACAAGCCCATAAGAACAAGACAAATGGACTCACAAAACATAAAACAACTGCTATACAACTTAAGATGGGTGTACATGTACTATTCAGTGTTTAGCCTTGTGGACTGATGCAGGAAGGAAGCGCTTGGTTGGAAATGATAAGAACTACTCTGCCCTCTGCTGGCATGTCATGAAGCATTACATGTCAAAGCCTTGGTTGAGGTTATTATGTACAATGTAATGAAAGGATGCAATACGGGGGGGTGGCCCAATACCAAATCGACCCCTTGACTCTGTGCACTTGTTGAGATCTGAGAGGCTTTGATTGGTGTGAGCAATAGGGTAAAACGTTCACCTAGAGGGCAAGTTGGAGCTATTACCAAATTGGTTACACCTGTCAAATCTACCCAGATAGCCACAATTGCACATTATTATGGAAAAGGGCTACACTGTACTTGTCAGTATGTTGGTGGAGTACAGAATGTATACAGTACCTGTCTCTCCCAGTTCATACAGGGTGAAGCCATCGATCTGCAGGTAGCTCTGAAATCGCTCTTTGTTAACCCAGGAAGACAAGCCACCGTCCACGTACTCTGCAATTACAGAGAATAACAAGACAACAGAGAAATGTCAAGCATTGATGATCAATTGAGAAAACAACAGTTTACAGAGAATGGTTCAATTGAGTATTGACGCGTGGTTGGGAAGTAGAAGGTCAGACTAATTACTTACTTATTATACCTGTTGATATTCACTATGTGAGGAAGACAAGCGCGCTCGCACGCACGCAGTCTCTCTCACTCTCACACACACACACACACATCCAGACACATACACTACAAAGAGGGCCACACACAGTGGGGATATGGCTGGACCATCGACACCACCTTTTCTCAAGCTAGTCCTGTACTGAACTGCATCTTCATCCAGCTGTGGAAGACCATCTCTCATGAACCTGAATTATCATTATATATTATATTTTTTGGACAGATTTCGTATGAAAAGCGCTATATAAAATAAATATATTATGATGTAAGGATGTGCTATTGGACCAGTGTTCTGCCAGATGTTTGTCTATGGGTGAAGTAGTCAGGTAGGATATATTTCAGAGCTGAATGAGAGACTTTGAAAGAGATTGCCCACATAAAATACTACAGTTTACTATAGAATACTATATAGTACTCACTATAGAATTATGTAGTATACTATACTACACACTGTAGTATCCCTTGATTGTGTAGTGCTTACTATATACACGTTTATAGTATACTGCAGAATACTATACTACACACTGTACTATCCCTTGATCATGTGTAGTACTTACATTAGAATGTTGTAGTATACTGGATAATACTATACTACACACTGTAGTATCCCCTTCGATTTTGTAGTGCTTATTATAGACTTTTGTAGTATACTGCAGAATACTATACTGCA